CCCCAAGTCCAAGTGATGCTGGTGATGCGGGGGATGTTGCCAGCCCTACGGAAGACCAGCCCTAGGAAAAAACCGGCCCTAGAAAAAAAAAAAACGTTACCATCATGGGACGGGGGGAGGATTGCCGTGTACATAATGTATACATATACGCGGATATGATGTATACATACACACAAACGAGCAAACAAACATAACATAGATACATACATACCTATATATATATATGTAATGTATATATGTAATGTATGTTATGTTATGTTATGGTATGTTATGTTATGTTATGGTATGTTATGTTATGTTAATGTAATGTAATGGAAGGTAAGGTAATGTAATGTAATGTATGTATGGAATGTATGTATGTAATGCAATGCAGTGCAATGCAATGCAATGCAATGTAATGTAATGTTATGTAATGCAACGGAATGGAATGCAATGGAATGCAATGTAATGTAATGTAATGATTATGAAATGTAATGTAATCTAATGTAATGTATGCATGTATGTATGTATATGCATCTACCTGCTTGCATGTACATGTATGTGTATGTACATATTGTCTATATACATGCGCACATACATACATGATACATGTATACATTTATGCGTACATACATACAAACAGGTTTGCTTATATACATGTACGTACATATATATATATATAATGCAAACAGATACACATATAAGTTTGCATACGAATACACATATATGCATGCTGAAACAAACAAAGAAACACCTATGTTTATGTGTACATACGGATATGCATATACATGTATAAATGTACGCATACATATAGACAAATATACATATAGACATATTTACAGATAAACAGAGGCACACATACCAATTATTCACTCATCTGCCAATACATCTACACAAACCGTTTGTTCGCACACACACACGCGCATGTATATATATATATATATATGTATATATATATATCCGCATGCACGAACAAATGTGTTCGTGCACATATTCATATGGACGTGCATACACATTTGCATGTATACATGTATGCACACGTACGTGCACATACATATGTATGCACACACACATACATTTAGATGTCTATATATGTACTCACTGAGTCAGTTTTTTTGCGTAAGATTCGCCCTCAGCTCCCTGGCCAGACCTCCAGAACGCGCCAGCCTCTGCAAGGGCCAAACGGCCCGGAAGCTCAGCGACGCGGCGGCGCTTTGTGCGCAAAGCGCCGCTTGTTCGGATGACCGCGTGTTGAGCCAGGAGTTCTATCGAGCCATGGGCAGAACAGCCAGCAGCTACATTGGAGAGTTGAATTGCCTACTTCTAGGCCATGCGCGCCTCAAGATTGCCGGTGCTTGTGCTGGGCCAGCCAAAAGATGGTGGCTTCGCATGCTTCACGAGCCAAAGCAGCGCCTCTGCAAATGATGTTGAGACACGCTGAACTGAGTGGCCAGATTTTGAGAGAGCAGTGGTATGCAGCCGCATCACCTAGGTCCACAACGCCCCGGGCAATGTCGGCAGCTTTCACCGACCGTGGAGCGTGGACCTTGGAGAAAGCGAGGTGGCCTCTGCGTGGAGACTTTTTCAGTCCAGAACGCCAGCCAGAAAGGAGAACCGCCTGTGAAGCGGTCCGATTTCGTGGACATTTTGCCAAAGGCGTGACATGTTAGTGACAGCCAGGGCCTTGGAACCAATTTCGTTTGGTCACGCGTCCACAAATGCACAAGGAACAAATTTCAGGCCCGCAGACACTTGAGTGCAACCGGACTCTTGCAGTGGTGTTTCAAGACCGTTTCTTGCCAAGCGGACGTCATGGAAAGGTATCGTTGATTGAGGATTGGGACCTCACCTAGATGTTTGGACGTACAAAATGTGGATGCAGCCGCGCCTAGGTTCGCATGCGCGAAGGCGGGGGAGGGTGCTGGGTTTTGGTGGTGGTTGCGAACTCGAGCATCTTTTGCTTCTTGGAAGACCCGTTGGAAGGACCCTTGGAAAAACAGAAAGAACATAGGCTTCAGATGTGTCGGGAGTTGTGTTTTCTCAACAGAGGTACGGTACGGGTTGGTGAGGACGAGGAAAGGAAGCTCAACAAAAGGGCCGAATGTACGGCACAGCCAAGCACAAAGAAACTCGGAAGCGTCATTTCCAAGTGCAGCGCTCAATGAAAATGTCTAAGAGATGCAAGTTTGCCGATGATGGCAGCTTTGCTTGGTCAACACGCCCAGTCAATGTATACCTTAAAGAAGCAAGGGGCCCCCTCCTCTAACGTTTTTTCTTTTTTGGGGGGGAGGGGGTTTCGTATTCAAACACTCCAGGTCCACCTTGTTGTACGTGGGACAATTTCATTAGCATACGTCTTTTGGGTGTTTATTCATGTTGAGCCTTTTGAGACATAGAGTGTGGGCGGCAGTCAACTATTTAGTATTGGCCCTTGCTTAATTTTCTATTGGGGAAGATTGGGCTTGCCTTGGACCGATAGCATAATTCCGCTCTGGTTTATACTGGGCTGATATTACTTAGGTTCACTCTGCAACAGTACGATCAGAGCAAGAAGGTGATACAAATTGAGAATCACTAGTTTCGTCACCAATGAACAGTACATGAGAAAGACTATGCCCCAATGACAAGGCACACCTACTTGGAACTCACAGGGAAGCACTGAAGACTTGGCGTTCTAGCACTCCCCCGGAATCAGGGGAATTCGTTATCTTGGGAGCTTCAGTCACGCTGGACAGCACGCAAGCCAAATCACGGCGCCACGCAATCAGCAGGTTTGCATTTCAATACGTCCAACGAAGGCACATCACCATGGGCGCCCAAAGCGAAATCCTATGCCACCTCCAAGCTCCTGGCAGGCCTGGCGACCCGCTCGCTCCTGCGCGCATCCCCGCAGACCTACGACGAGATCGTGGGGCCGAAGCACAAGGTGCGGTTTCAGTGAGCGCTGGAGCGCGGGAAGCGCAGGGAGTTTTCGCCGGCGGCTGGGCGGTCCGTTCTTGCAAGTCTTTGTCCTCTTGTCTGGAGAGAAAAGCACCATTCATGACAGACAATTTTTTCTCCAATGTTGCAGTGCTGGCAAGGAGTGTCAAACGTTTGCCAAGCTCGCTAAACCTCGAAACCTCCGAGGCCACCAGTTCTGAGGGCAGATTTGCACATCAGGAACGTGGTTGCTCCGCTTGCTCACAGCTACACAGCCAGGCGGGATGCCAATGCCGCAGCTGCCAACCTTTCCCAGTTCGAGCAGCAGGCGCAGCCGGCCTTGAGTTTTGCTTGCGGCTTGACTCCCCAGGCGGATATTGCTCACCATGCGGCATCAGAATGCCTGAAAGTGTCGCCAATGGTTAAAATTGTCGATGATAGAGGTGCAATTGGCCTTCAATACCTCAAGCGCTGGTTCTGTCTCTGATCAGATTAGAGTGGTGTTCGATCTCGGATGGCAATTAGACGGCACCGCTTCCGACACTCAGCCCTGGACCATGGGCTTTGGGAAACCAGTTCCCCTCCCACTCTCCAGAGCTCAGGACAGCCAACCCACGCCTGTGCGCACAACATCGTGGCGGACCGTTGAGATCCTGGTTCGGCTGTTGCAGTGGCATTTGGATAATTTTTGGGAGGGTTGATTAAAAAAGTCAGACGCAGATAAGGGGCCACCAGCAAGCTTCCAAGGGAAAGAGGGAGCCTTTTGGTGACCAAAGAGTGGCAAGTGGGGGCAGTCTTTCAGGATCCTGCCTACGCTGGTGGGCGGCTGAGCAGCCTCGGATCGCCTGAGTCACTGGAGTAACTGGACAGCCCCGAGCCTCTCAGGGATCCCAAGCCGGCTCGGAGCAGGGAGCGTCGTCTCTTGAAGGGGCCCAACCGGTTATTTCCCAGGAACCCTCGACTTTTAGAGCTCCACAGCTTGGCTGATTTGGATTGTCCAAGCTCAAAGCAGGCGCTGAGGTGCGCCGGTGCTCCTTCAAAGCTCACGTTGCTCAATCATGTTGAGGGTTCAGCTCATGCGGCTCAAGCGGCTTCTGAGGCAAGCGCAGAGATCAAGGGGTGCAGAGCCCGAGCAATGGAGTTCGGAAGGCCTTCGACTGGGATGTTGGGTCCAAGAAGGACTGTCCTTTTTGTGCACTTCCATGTTGGACAACTCGCAAGAAACACCTCCTCAACACTGCAGCACTCAGTTGGGTTTGGCTCGAAATCAGCCGAACCCATCTCCAGCCAAAAGACCACCCAATCGGTGTGTTGGTCGAATCATTTCGGGACTAGAGATGGTCTCCAGGGTGCTTGCAAAAGTCGTGCTTTACTTAAATTGGTTGCTTTTGCCGCGTATGTTTGAACCTGCTGGAAATTGCTTGAACTATCTACCGGCCTTTGCAGAGATGCACAACCCGGCAGGCCTTGGAGTATGCTCAAGGCTGGGTGCTTGTTCTTCCCGGCATGGGGATATGGGGATATGGGGATATAGGGATATGGGGATATGGGGATATGGGGGGCTGGCACATTCTGCGCAGTTCCTGCCATGAATCCAGGAAATTGCCATTGGGCTTGTGCAGCTGCGAAGCCCATGACCACAGACCTGCGTTTGTTTTCCTCCCAAGATGGCCTGGCAGCTCCGTCGCGTCACTGGAGAAGTTTGGTTACGCAGCACTCCCTCTGGTAACAAGGATTGCATGAAAAGGAGCCAACAGACTAAGCCAGTTGCCAAGATGATCCTTGCTTTTTCAATCTCCTCTCTCCCCACGTGCAGTTCTGATGCTACAGGGGCCAGTGGGAAGGGAACCCCCAAAACATCCAAAGGATGGGGGTAGCGCAACGGACATGCCCCCCGTGTGCGCATATGGTATTAAATAATGTACATATATATATATATATATATATAATTATCTACAGGATTGTGCGTTCCATGCAGGCAAAGTTTGGCGGTGACTTTTTGACTTCGTGGATGGACTGCATGGAACCAAGGACTAAAACCTGCGGTCCCCTGGTGCCTTATTCTTGACCCATACCCATGTGTGTTCCTTGCACCTCATATTCTCTGCAAGTCTAAGCTTTGGACTGGGCCATCCGAATTCCTGCGCCTGGCCAGGCTGCGCCCAGGACCACGAGCTCCTCTTCCAGCAGAGCATGAAACGAAAGGCCTCAGCCTCAGATCGCGGGACAAATCAGAGCACAGAGAGTTCCAAACCAAGCAAACAATATCGGAAGTGCAAGCAAGAATCAAACAAAGCGCATAGCTGAATATACATATACGTAGATTTACACCTGTATATATGTACCAGTCCCTGGGCCACGTACCCCCCCCCCCCCAAATGGTACGGTCCCCCCACTCCCCCGCATCATCCGCATCTTGAGGATGATGCTGGCAATGCTGGGGATGCTGTCCAGTACGTGTGAGCCCTGCAGCTTTGGTCCCAGACTCCCCCTTTCACCCCGTGAACCAAACCTCTCGCAACATCCTACCCTAAACCAAACCACCCTGCAACCCCTCCTTAACCCCAACCCAAAGCCTAAATCAACCCAGACCCCAAACCCACCCGAAACCCACCGCAAACCAACCCTGAACCAACCCCAAGCCAACCCACCAAGCCTAAACCAACTCCGAACCACACCCCAACCACCCAACCACCCATCCACCCAACCACCCAACCACCCAACCACCCCACCACCCCACCACCCCACCACCCACCCCACCCCCACAGGGGGGGGGGTTGGGGGGGGGAGGGGGGGGGGTCCACGGCCTGGAACATATATATATATATATATATACATATATATATATATATATATATATACACACCGAAGCGAGATCAATCGCCATGTATACATCTAATTCAGCTAGCTGCTCTGCGTGGTTAGCGGGCCCAAGGCCCGTAAGAGACAATTGAGTAACGCCGAAACCCGCCCAAGCATGTGGACATCTCTAAAAGTAGAGACTTAGAGTGTTCCCCCCGCCCCCCACACTGCCAAAACTAGCACAACATGCCTCGCCAGTGGCGAGAGAGAGACAGAGAGAGAGAGAGAGAGAGAGAGTGGGCCCGTGGGGCGGGAGGGGGCGCGAAGGCGCTTCGCTCCCCAGCGAAAGAATGAAGTGGCCGAGGGCCGGCTGACTGCTGACATCACGGGCGCCGGGCAGCACCCGCGGCCCAAGCTGGAGGAGGGGGGGCCGTTTGGCGGTTGGCGTATCGTAGGCTCGTACTGTGGATGGTTGCGAGATTTTTCTTCGCGCCACGAAACGAAACTAGGGTTCACACTTTTGCTTGTTGGTATTTTTAGGGGAATGGACTTCTTCCAGGGTTTCTGAGCGGTGCGAACGGATTGCGCCCATCCGAAGTAGGTGAGCCTTGGGCATCGGAAGCCCGAACCCAGGGCCCGTCCCCCGTTTCCCTGGATGTTTTTGCGGGATAACGCAAGAGGTTTCCCTAGTTGTTTTGGGATGGTATCGGACATCCTAGATCCTTTTGAAGAGACGAAGGGCTTGCAATTCTTGACGCCTGCATGATGTTCGCTTCTTTTTGATGTTCTGCGTGGCGCAGGGCCACAACAAGAAGGCTCCAGAGGCACGGCACGGCGCATCTGAGGGGGTGCTCGTTTTGGCGCTTCCCGGAGCAGTGGGTGGCGCCACTAGCCACTTCACTCGCTTGAAGTTTGTTGGAGGTGGAGATGCTTAGCACTCCCACTAATGCCAAACAACGCAGCACAAACCCAAACATGGTCTCAAAAAGAGGCAAGCACCCAGAAAACCGCCAAGAGCCAAGTTGACTGTCAGAAGCCAAGGGTCTTGCCAATTGAACGGCAGTCACCGCCAGATCAGCAGAGCTCGCCACCTTTTGCCAGCCTCATGAGTTGGGCTCACAGCATATCATTGCACGCATGAGTGGCAATTTGCTGGGTGCTCCATGCCAGGTCCTCTGGCAGATGTGTTGCCCCCTTTTGCAGATGGATTTTCGGATTATTCCAAGAGGACAGACTTTCGCCTTCTCTTCCATGTTTGTCGGAGTGCGAGGAATGGGTGTGTAGGAGGGCCCATGCGACTCACAGGTCTGACAGGACCGTATTTTCCAACGGGAAACCGGGGGCTTGGGCTTGACGAGGGCTCGAGAATTGAAACTCGGGCTCAGAGGGGCCAGGCGCTTTCTCTGATGGCTTTTTCGTGGAGTTCAAGTTGTCAAGGCTTCAGGTTTCAGCGCTCGTCTTGTCTTCCTTCTATCCCATCTTAGTTGTGATTTGCCTTTCAACGTGATAGGCACCTCAATTCCTGAAGGGTGACACCGTACCCCAGTTCGATTTCAATCTCTCTCTCACTCAGGTTGATCTGATGCCTTGGGTGTGGGGTTTCGATTTGGCGTTGGCCAGGGCGGCAACCCCATGATGATGAGATCCGGGGCCTCCCACATCTTGAACCCCCGCGCCGGGATGCCCAACATCAAGTGGGGTGGCTGGCGGGGCTCGGGCGGTTTCACCATCAATTGGGCTGGCACCTGTTTTCTGGTGCCTTGGTCGTGTTGGGGGCGATATATTGAAGACACGGGGACGAACGTGCCTGGGAATATATATGCCTTGTCCCCACCAGCTCAGTACCGTAGTCCACTTAGACTCACCTATGTTTACTGCACTATTCTGGTGCCCGCATCCCACTGTGTAGACTGACCTCCTGCGCTTGAGGAAGATGATCCTCCACCTCCCGATCGGATCTGCACTGCGCGGAAGGCAGGGAGAGACTGTGTCGCGTTGTCCAAAGCAAGTGCATGCCACAGGGCACCGCGCAGGGCTTCGCGGTGAGGCAAAGACCAGGCGTTGAGAACCCTTAGATTTTGATGCCAGGTTTTGCTACTATTGCAAGTCTCCTCTGCTGGATTTGTCGCTGACAGCAATTGATCAGGCGCTTGACAGACTCCCAGTCTGACTTGGACCCTGCAACCCTTTGCATTCGCGGCCGAGCGCTCCCCGAGAAAGTCGCAACATGTCATGAATTCAGGAGGAGGTACAGACCCGCGAGATTCGGTAAATGTTCTTCTTGCCCCCACTCAACTCTCCGGCAAGGCCCGAGGCGAGTTTAAGGAGGGCTATTCCGCGGAGTGCAACAAGATGGCTATCAATTGGAACCAGGACCTATACAGGTGAGGCCCTCAGTATATACTTGTGGCGAAAATGCGGGCTGAATGGTTGGGTGGGCGCCTGTGGCACCTAAGTGAGCTGTGCGCTGCTGCCTGCCTCGAAACAAGGCCGTACTCGAAAACTCATACCCATTGCCCAAAAATGTAACGGGGCAAGGGCTTGCTCCTGTTCCAACGTGCGGTCCGATTTTTCGGACCCCTCTGGATGATGATGATGTGCTGCTGCTGCTGATGATTCTGCTGCCGATGATGATGCTGCCGATGATGATGCTGACGATGATGATGATGATGATGATGATGATGATGATGATGATGATGATGATGATGATGAGGATGATGATGATGATGATGAGGATGATGATGCTAAATGGCATTGTTGGGGGTAGCTCCGATGTTGTTCTTCACACATCATGTTCCGGCCATTGCGTTGTCTCGAGGTTCGAGGTGCTGGCCTATGGGGGCGAGGGCACCCGGCCGCTGTACCGCTCCACGCCGGGGGCGCAAGTTGGCCTCGGGGCCGGGCGGAGGGGGTCTTTTGCAACGTTTCGAAACCGCAAGTTGCAGGCCTTTTTGGGAGTTCTTTAGCATTTCTTGGAGTTGACCTCTGTTTTTTCCTTGATTTAGTTCCGCTGCTTGCAGTTTGACCCATCCGTGCCTCGAGCTGCTAGTGATTTTCCCCAGTTACGCCTGAAGTGGTAATTGGAGCAGGGTATTCCAGGCCCAGGAGCTTGGAGCAGTGAGACCTTGCCCTCATCGGACCTACGGATCAAATTGGGGGACCTTCTTTAGGTTCGAATATATGGGTTCCAGCTTGCACCGAGGGACAATTTTGCGAATCACGTGGGTCGCCTAGAACCATTTGTCAGAAGCCATTTAGGGTCCTCAACAAATAGCAGTTGTCAGGCACAACTTTCCCAGGTCAAATGGTGGCTTGAAAGAGGGTAGCAGGAAGGCAGCTGAAGAGCAGCCGAGGGTGGAAACAAGTCGTCAGTTTGCTAGTCGCATTGGTGCTTTGCCCATCAACAGCTTTTCGGTCGCTTGCATATATAGTGTATTAACTCCAAACCTGAACATTGCTTGGTTTACCTCAAACTTCCATGAGGAGCGCTGCTGAGAGTTAGAACAAAGTCAAAACAGGGGACCCTCGGTTGAGGTTTTTCCGGGTTGCGCCTTGGTTGCTTCGAAACCCCTTGGGTACAACTTGTGTTGACACATCCCCGCTGACCTTGCAGGTCCTGCCCGCCAAAGCACAGTGGTGGCCTCAGTGAGTGTTGGTCCGGGGGTCCGCGGCCTGGTGGGTGAGCTTGAGATTCCATGGGGCAAAGTGGCGGCAAAGTCTTTGAGAAAAAGGGCACACCGGCTGCCAAGTGCCAGGCTATGGGGTGTGGGACAGTTCCTTGAGCTGCCAGTGAAGTCGATCCCCATCAGTGATCATGTCGTCCTGGAAATGTTCCACTTCGGTGCGACAGAATGGGTCCTTTCCATCATGGTCTTTGCGGGCGTGTCGATGCTCATCGTGCCCATTCGGTCGAAGCTTCTCTGATAGCAATCTCATTGCCCTGCACTTTGCAGGTTGAGCCAAGCTCACTTGGGACCCATTGTTTTCATTCGAACAGACAATGGCCTTGCCAGAACCCATCTTTTCAGTGGACCAGCCATATTCTATTCTATTACACGGGATTTCAGCACCGGGGACATGTTGCTTTGACAGGCTAACTTTAAGCCAAGCAACAACCACTTGCGAGCGTGAGGCGCGCGAAACCCCGTCACGGGCGAGCAGCAGGCGGAGCCACTTGAACCAGAAGGTGTCATCAGGAAACGACCACAGAGCTTCCTTAGGAGCTGCAGCTGGCTTTTTTTAACCTCACCTCGCGGGCCAAGGTTATTTGCGAGCCTCCTTTTGGGGTGATATTTTTAACGGAGACAGGATAGTAAGCCCTCAGCCGGCTCCAACCGCATTTGGTTTCGTGCTTGGCGGATTTCAGCATTTGGTTTTTCGAGCTGCCCAAGAGGAATCAACTTTGGTCCTGGGAGGCTTTCGCGCTTTCTGGTCCAGTTTGCCCCACCCTCCCGCAGCCAATGCATCCGGTGTTTCCCATCCCTTAATTTTTTAGGTTATCAAGGTTAAGCGGGGGTTTCCGTTTATCCCACTGAAAGTTAAACTTGTAGCAAGGGGATCTGAGGACAGCCCAGTTTGTTTTGTGTTTCTGAGGGAGAAGACTTGCTAGTCCGACCAGGACGGATACCGGACTCCACGTCGGCCAACGGAGCACGAGCAGAAAGCAAGGCGCAGTCGTTGAGGGCGCCCCAGCGGACCGCACGCCAAGTAGTAAGACTGCTGGGAACTCTCCTCTCCGTCCTGGGATTTGCACCTAGTCTGGGAGCCCCCGCCCAAAAAGAGGCGAAGTGTTGAGGGATCTATCTGAGTGGCTTTCCACTGCAGCAGTCGCCGAGCAAGCAGTGGTGCTTGTCATAGGCCAAACCCTTGTGAGGTGGCAATGTTGCAGAAAATAGAGATGGGTGTTTCTCACTGCCCTTTGTTTCGTCTCTTTAGACCATCCGAAAGGGACCCCCATGCCGAAGCACAGGCCCGATGAGAATTTTCATGGGCCTCATGGCCGGGGTTGGGCAACCGCCGGACTTTGGCCGCCCAGGGAGATGTCAGGCCAAGGGGTCCGGCTCTTGACCGACCACAGCATCCTGGAAGAGAAGGCCATCCATCGAGAGCGGGGATGAAGCGCTTCTGACTTGACCGCTATTGTTTTCCTGGGGGCCCCAAAAGAGTACCGAGCTGGCCGACCATGGCCTGAGATGCTTATGTGAGGCGTGGGTTGACACTGCTGTTGGGTTGGATCTTTAGACTTTTTAACTTTTTGGTTGAAATCAAGTGGGGTTTTCCACTCCCACAAAAAAGTTAAACTGTTTGCAGAGGGGTCAACAGCAACCAAGCTGACAGCCCAACGCTTGCAGGTGAACCGAACTGAGACCCAAGACCCACGCTGAGCGAATCAAATTGTTGAGCGATCGCTCCCAAACCATGGTTCGTTGGCTTCCGAAACAATATCATCATTCAGGTCTTTTGGTAAGCGAAGCACCCGGCAAAATATTACGGGGAAGTGCGGTAGTTTCCGTCTAGCCTAAGGTCTTGGGAGCCTGGGGCCTGGGAACTGCGATTTTTCTGGTTGTGTTGATCATACATCCTTTGAGCCAGCTTCAAACAAATGCCGTCATTTACGTTATGCAGGAGTGTTTCATGCGCATGTGTGATTGCTTTTTTTTTTTTGGCTTGAACAACGATGTGGGACGTCCAAGATACGATACCCCAAAACCTGAGAAAAGAGCCTGAAAAAAGATACAGGACGTCCCAACGAATACACAGACAAGTCATTTTTACTCTGACTTATATATATATATATATATATGAATGACGATTGCCTACCTCTTGTTTTTCCGTGGCGGCTTCTTCGGTGGATGATCGATCGCCTGTTTGAGCGGACGTGATCCAAGTTGGTTTTTTTCTTTGCCCCCCACGTTGTCGAATTCCCCTGGATCAGAGCCACGAGCTTGCAGTCACCCAAGCCAGCCCTGTTGAAGGGCTGCTTCGGGGATTCCGCCAAAATCCTGTCAAAAAAGGGCACCCCGACTGGCAGTGAATTGCTTTTGGTTTCCTGAGACCAAAAAGGTGCCCAGGCTAAAAGACCGACCCCTCAAAATGGTTGCGTTGGTTTCCCAAAACCGACCAAATGAGCATTCACTCCTCAAAACCGACACCCCTCAGGCTCAGCAGCACCGCGATGGTCGCCTCACCGCCCTGCTGGCAGAGTTGGAATCCAGCAAGTGGGGATGTGAAGCAAGTTGAGCACCACTGCGTGTTCTGAACAGGGGACTCACAGTTACAAGCAGCAAAGGGTTCCCTCCATTCCTCCAAGAGAGCTTGGTCCAGACGGCCTCAGGACCACATTTCGTGCCTTTTTTGTTGCGGAGAGGGGGCTGAGATGGCCCCTGGAAACTAGAGAGATGTGTTTGTGTCTGAAAAGGGTGTGTGTGTGTGTGTGTTTGTTTGTTTGTTTGTTTGTTTGTTTGGTTGTTTGTTTGTTTGTTTGTTTGTCGCTGTCACGGTTTGTCACTGTTCGTCACTGTTTGTCACGGTGTGTCACGGTTTGTCACGGTTTGTCACTGTTTGTCACGGTTTGTCACGGTTTGTCACGGTTTGTCACTGTTTGTCACGGTTTGTCACGGTTTGTCACGGTTTGTCACGGTTTGTCACGGTTTGTCACGGTTTGTCACGGTTTGTCACGGTTTGTCACGGTTTGTCACGTTTGTCACGGTTTGTCACGGTTTGTCACGGTTTGTCACGGTTTGTCACGGTTTGTCACGGTTTGTCACGGTTTGTCACGGTTTGTCACTGTTTGTCACGGTTGGTCACTGTTTGTCACGGTTTGTTTGTCACGGTTTGTCACGGTTTGTCACGGTTTGTCACGGTTTGTCACGGCTTGTCACGGTTTGTCACCGTTTGTTTGTCACGGTTTGTCACGGTTTGTCACGGTTTGTCACGGTTTGTCACGGTTTGTCACGGTTTGTCACGGTTTGTCACGGTTTGTCACGGTTTGTCACGGTTTGTCACGGTTTGTCACTTGTCACGGTTTGTCACTGTTTGTCACGGTTTGTCACGGTTTGTCACGGTTTGTCACGGTTTGTCACGGTTTGTCACGGTTTGTCACGGTTTGTCACGGTTTGTCACTGTTTGTCACGGTTTGTCACTGTTTGTCACGGTTTGTCACGGTTTGTCACGGTTTGTCACGGTTTGTCACTGTTTGTCACGGTTTGTCACTGTTTGTCACGGTTTGTCACTGTTTGTCACGGTTTGTCACGGTTTGTCACGGTTTGTCACGGTTTGTCACTGTTTGTCACGGTTTGTCACTGTTTGTCACGGTTTGTCACTGTTTGTCACGGTTTGTCACGGTTTGTCACGGTTTGTCACGGTTTGTCACTGTTTGTCACGGTTTGTCACTGTTTGTCACGGTTTGTCACTGTTTGTCACGGTTTGTCACTGTTTGTCACGGTTTGTCACGGTTTGTCACTGTTTGTCACGGTTTGTCACTGTTTGTCACGGTTTGTCACTGTTTGTCACGGTTTGTCACGGTTTGTCACGGTTTGTCACTGTTTGTTTTGTCACGGTTTGTCACGGTTTGTCACTGTTTGTCACGGTTTTTGTCACGGTGTTTGTCACGGTTTTTCACTGTTTGTCACGGTTTGTCACGGTTTGTCACGGTTTGTCACGGTTTGTCACGGTTTGTCACGGTTTGTCACCGTTTGTCACTGTTTGTCACGGTTTGTCACGGTTTGTCACGGTTTGTCACGGTTTGTCACGGTTTGTCACGGTTTGTCACTGTTTGTCACGGTTTGTCACGGTTTGTCACGGTTTGTCACGGTTTGTCACGGTTTGTCACGTTTGTCACGGTTTGTCACGGTTTGTCACGGTACTTGTCACGGTTTGTCACGGTTTGTCACGGTTTTGTCACGGTTTGTCACTGTTTGTCACGGTTGGTCACTGTTTGTCACGGTTTTTCACTGTTTGTCACGGTTTGTACGGTTTGTCCGGTTTTGTCACGGTTTGTCACGGCTTGTCACGGTTGTCACGGTTTTGTCACGGTTTGTCATCGGTTTGGTCACGTTTGGTCACGGTTTGTTCACGGTTTGTCACGGTTGTCACTGTTTGTCACGGTTTGTCACGGTTTGTCACGGTTTGTCACGCTGTCACGGTTTGGTCACGGTTGTCTTGTCACGGCACGCACGGTTTGTTTTTGTCACGGTTTCACTGTTTGTCACGGTTTGTCACGGTTTGTCACTGTTTGTCACGGTTTGTCACTGTTTGTCACGGTTTGTCACGGTTTGTCACTGTTTGTCACGGTTTGTCACTGTTTGTCACGGTTTGTCACTGTTTGTCACGGTTTGTCACCGTTTGTCACGGTTTGCCGCTGTTTGTCACTGCTTGTCACCGTTTGTCACGGTTTGTCACAGGTTTGCCGCTGTTTGTCACTGTTTGTCACTGTTTGCCGCTGTTTGTCACTGTTTGTCACTGTTTGTCACGGTTTGTCACGGTTTGTCACGGTTTGTCACGGTTTGCCGCTGTTTGTCACTGTTTGTCACTGTTTGTCACTGTTTGTCACTGTTTGCCGCTGTTTGCCGCTCTGTTTGTCGGTTTGTCACAGGTTTGCCGCTGTTTGTCACTGTTTGTCACTGTTTGCCGCTGTTTGTCACTGTTTGTCACTGTTTGTCACGGTTTGTCACGGTTTGTCACGGTTTGTCACGGTTTGCCGCTGTTTGTCACTGTTTGTCACTGTTTGTCACTGTTTGTCACTGTTTGCCGCTGTTTGCCGCTGTTTGCCGCTGTTTGTCCGTGTTTGTCAGTGTTTGTCACTGTTTGCCGCTGTTTGCCGCTGTTTGTCACTATTTGTCACTGTTTGTCACTGTTTGTCACGGGTTTGCCGCTGTTTGTCACCGTTTGTCACTGTTTGTCGCTGTTTGTCGCTGTTTCTCACTGTTTGCCGCTGTTTGTCACTGGTCACCGTTTGTCACTGTTTGCCGCTGTTTGTCACTGTTTGTCGCACTTTGTCACTGTTTGTCACGGTTTGTCACTGTTTGTCACAGTTTGTCACCGTTTGTCACGGTTTGCCGCTGTTTGTCACTGCTTGTCACCGTTTGTCACGGTTTGTCACAGGTTTGCCGCTGTTTGTCACTGTTTGTCACTGTTTGCCGCTGTTTGTCACTGTTTGTCACTGTTTGTCACGGGTTGTCACGGTTTGTCACGGTTTGTCACGGTTTGCCGCTGTTTGTCACTGTTTGTCACTGTTTGTCACTGTTTGTCACTGTTTGCCGCTGTTTGCCGCTGTTTGCCGCTGTTTGTCCGTGTTTGTCA